CCGCCACTAGTTCAAATTAAACAAAAAAAAAACTTCAATCGACAATAATCTTAACCCAATCCACAAATTACTTAAATTCAAATCAATCTCAAGTTTTGAATCAATAATTAAAATCAAAGAAGGTAAAAAAAAGTTAAATTACTTTTTTTTTTACAAAATTTATGTAAAATAATATTGATTTTTGTGATAATCTGAGAAATATGAGATCAAGATACTCTGTAGGCAAAGACATTGATGAAGGTATGTGAGAGAGAGTAATAGATGCAGAGAGAAAAAGGGAGAGAAGAAGAAAACAGGAAGAAAAGTTGAGGATCGGATGAGGGTTTTTGCTTTGAGGGAAATTTTGGGGGAGGGGACTGTCTGCACTGAGAGAGACGCATGGGTGCTAAGTGGGGTGGGCTGGGTTAGGGTGGGTGGGTGGGTTTTTATTTATTTAATTTTGTAATTAATTTTATTAAAATATAAGTTTGAAAATTTGTAATTTTTGAAATTATATATATGGATTTTAGAAGAAAATTTTTAATAAACTTTTTTTGTATAAGTTAGATAAAAATAATTAAAATTAAATATTATAATTTGATTTTGTTATTTATTAATTTATGATTTTGTATTTGAAATTTAATAAATTTTTTATTATTTTGATATATTTATTATTGTCAATTCTTTTGTTGTAAGATTAATTCTTATTGATTTATAACTATAGTTAATGGAATTTGAAATTATTATATTTTTAAGTTTGTAATTTTATTAAATATGGATGTTTGGTATTTAATGTATTATGTTTAGTTAATATTTTGATTTGCCTAGAATTAATTTTTAATATGAACTTGACTTAAGTAAAAATTTTGTTGTTAAACCAAATATAAATGTTTTATTATAATCTCAATAAAATTGTGAATAATTTTTTTAGAAAATAAAAAACATAAAGTTTCATAAACTATTTTAAAAAACATTAAATAAGAGTTTTTATAATTATAATTATAATTATTACATTTTATAATAAATTATACAAAATTAAAAAAAAATTCACGACTACGATGACCATAATGATTTTCGTTATATCCGAAAATGTAATAAACGCGACCGATAAAAAACGTGACTGCGACTACTATTTAAATCCCTTATGTCAATGACTTCACTTCCTCTCAAATTTCTTCTTATTTTGTCCAATTTGCTAGTTTGGAGCAACTTAACATGTCTTTTGCCTGCTTTTCTGGTCAAATACCACCTGAATTCTCCTCCACGTCTAAACTGGCTTTCCATGATCTCACTTTCAATTTTGAGCCAACCATTGAAACTCCTGTTATGGAAAGCATCACACGAAATTTTACCAGGTTGGAAGAACATTACCTTGACAACATAGATATCATTCACTGACCCAGGTTACCTGAAAAACTAACCTCTTCTTTAACACCATTGTGTCTTGTCAACAGTGGCCTGGAAGGGAATCTCATGGTAGATTAGAGAATTTAAAATGCAATAAAAAAATTAAAGTAACATGAATTAAAATTTTAGAAAAAACTATATATGGGTTTAACAATAATAAAAAATATATATTTTGTGTTTTTCATATCGACATGAATTATGACACATAATTTTTGTGCAAAACACAATCAGGATACATGAATTGTTAGTGTTTTATACATGGGACACTCAGATTACTTGTTGCTTTAACCTCACAGGTGCGTTTCCACGGCTCAACTGGTGCAACCCCCTCAGGATCTTAGATGTTCCAACAAGTTGGACAGGAGAACCACCTGCTTCAACGGGCAGTATAAAGTCTTTACAGAGATTGAATCTGTAATTTTGTCAACCTAACACATCTTTCAGCTTTGGACTTATCAATGAATAAATTATCAGCTCCAATTCCTTTCAAGTGTTGTTGGACTTCAAAGCTTGTGATCTCTTACTTGCATGATAATTCTTCAAAAAGAAAAATACCATCTCGGACATTTAAGTTATCCATTGTCGACAGGCTTGGACCTTAGAAATAACCAACTAACAGGCCTCATTAATGAGTTTCAGTATAATTCACTGAGGACCACTGATTTGAGCAGCAATAGGCTGTCTGCCTGCATCCTAAGTTCAGCAATAGGCTTGATTTTCTGGTACATTGAATCATTATTCTACGATCATAAGGAGTTTAAAAAGAATTAATAGAAAATGACACCCCTTTAACTTCAAGCAAAACATTTTTCCATAATCATGTGGAAAATATGTTTCTTTTCAATATGCTTCTGTATTTACAAGTTTACTTGGTAAGATATTGCAGAGAAGTTTCCCAAGCACAGTGCAACTACATATTGATTTGCATAATTGCATTATTGGATGAAATGCTCATGTTTTCTTCTTGTTGGATCCCACCTCTTTGTTGCCTTTAGGTAATAGGTGAATGATTGATAATGGTGGGTAGAAACACTCGGTAAAGATGGAAAGCTCATCTTGTCCATATGGGGACTAAACCAGCAAACAAGACTTTATATATAGTACTAAATTTGTGATTTTTGTGATTCTATACAGGTTAAATATGACAATAATGGTTATCATGAAAAAAGAATTAAAAGAATTTTTTTAAAGGAACATTTGTTAGTGAAAAATGATGAATTGAATTTAACGAATACAAGATATCATATAAGAAAGTTAAATAAAAAAGTATCATGCACCCGAATATTTAGTTGAATAAGAGTCCGGTTTGAATTTCTTTCTTTAAATCAAAAAAAGAAATATCTATCGTTGAAGTGTTGTTTACTCTAAAACTTTGAACTTTTCTCATTCCTTACTGCTAATCACCTATAGCTTTTACATGTGATACATGCTTAGGCACTAAATATTTTTGTTCTAATCTTTTGAATTGAGATAATTTTTCTCTTGTTAAAAGAGAAAATTTAACAAGAGAAGAATAGGAACATAGATCAATAATTTCACCAAAAGCAATAATTTCCAATATTTTTAGGAGAATCATTTATATTATCAATGTGATACACGCCTATATTTTAAGTAGTGGAATGTTACATCATCAATGAGTAACATAAAAAGCAAAGATGATGAGATCAAATATCCAAAATTTTCTTTTTGCTTTTAGATTAACTTTAATTGGATCCATTGAAAAATGTCCAAATTTTCATATCTGCTTTTGCTATTGCTATTGCTAGGAAGCAAGACCAAGTTCCACACAAGAATTCTCAATTCTGATTGGCATCAAAGAATCAAGAGTGCTTTAAGGAATTTGCCTTGCTTTTTCCCCATCCTAACGAAGAAACCACTAAAATTTCTAACTTATCTTGTCCATAGAGGGACTAATACCTCTCTTTCCACCTAAGGTTTTGTCCGCAGCACTCACCATAAAACCACAAAAACCACTTAACAAGACTATAGTACTAAATTTGTGATTTTTGTGCTCCTATAGACATTAAAGTAGTTGTTTGATATATTTTGCAAGATCTCATAGTAATATAATTATCGATGTGATTTTATTACATTTGAAATCATTTTATTTAATTAACAATCGTATTTTTAATTTTTAGGAATTAAAGATAATTGTGTTGAGTATTATTAAAAATTAAATATAAAATTTTAAAAGTATGAAAATAATCATGCATATTGTAATAATTACACAAATTAATGATTTTGATATTGTTTAAAGATAATAAATTATAAAATACTAGGAATATTTTATTTATTTTATAATAAAATATAATTAAATTATTAAATTAATAAATATATTTATTGATAGGTAATTGATTTTTATAATATAAATTGCATAAAAATATTTGAATTAGAAAATAAATCTAATTTATTAAATTGATAATAAAAGAAAAACAAAAATTTAAATCATATATAAAGTATTAAAAAATAAAAAACATATAAATTATTTTTTGAACTTGTTACTATGAATATTAGTTTGAAAATTTAAAAATTTTTATATAAAATAACTACAATTTTAAGTGAAAGCAAGTTTTTAATTCACATATTAAATGGATAATATTGTTAATTTTATATATTACTTCATTTCATTGATAAAATTTTTTACTCTTTTGTATAGAAATTAAATCACCCTTCAAAGTAGTAATATAATCCCTCTCAATGATCTAAGATCATCGTCATGTAAAATCATTGAATACTTACCAAACATATAGATCTAATTATCATGTGTAGATTACCTTGATTTTTGGTATCATCATCCCATACCAAACACAACCTAAAATATTTCTCATAATTTTTCGCAATATGGCAATTATAATGGTTATCATGAAAAAGCAAAATTAAAAGATTTTAATATTAAGGAACATTTCTTAATATTCGGCTCACTAAGAGTTAGAGTTGGATTCTAATGTTTTAGCCTGAATCAGAATAAAAAATTTTTATCTTTGAAGTATTGTTTACTCTAAAACTTTGAAGCAGTAGATTCAACCTTTCCCCTTCCATGAGACTCATCTATAGCTTTTACATGTGATGCATGCTTTGGGATTGAATCTTTTAGTTCTAATCTTTTGAATCAAGATAACCTTTTTTTTTTTTGTTAAAAAAAAGGAACATAGACCGATAATTTCAACAAAAGCAGCAATTTCCACAGTGTTTATCACAATTGATTACATCATCAATGTGAGACATGGTTATACATTAAGAAGTGAAATGTTACATCATCAATGGGCAACATAAAAGCAATGATGATGTTACGCCTATACTTTGCTGTTTTTTATTAGCTTTGATCAGCAATGATGATGGGATCAAATGTCCAAAATTTTCTTTTTGCTCTTAGATTAACTTCAATTGGATCCAATGAAAAATGTCCAAATTTTCATCTTTGAATTTGCTTTTGCATTTGCTGTTGCTAGGAAGCAAGACCAAGTTGCACATAAGCATCCTTAATTCTGATTACCATCAAAGAATCGGTAGTGCTTTAAGGAATATGCCTTGCTTTTTCCACATCCTTAAGTTTGCTATATTTAGACCTTTCCAATAATAGTTTGAGCGGAAATGTCTCCTCTCTAATTTGCGATATGACTTCTCTTGGAGTTCTTGACTTGTCTCACAACAACTTGAGTGGAATCATTCCCCATTGTTTGGGAAATTTAAGCGACAGTCTTTGGATGTTGAATCTACGGATGAACAAATTTCATGGAATCATTCCTCCAACATTTACAAGGGGATGTCAATTGAAGAATCTCAACTTAAATGGCAATCAATTAGAAGGGCCTTTAACACGATCCACCCTTAATTGTAGAGGTCTGGAACTGCTAGATCTTGTTGACAACAAGATCAATGATACATTTCCTCATTGGTTGGGAAGTCTTCCTGAGCTACGAGTTCTTGTATTGAGGTCAAATCAACTACAAGGTCCCATACAGGACACTAGCTCCAGTCCTTTTTCCAAAATCAAAATTTTTGACATCTTAAGCAATTTTTTTTCTGGAACACTACCTGTGATGTATATAAAAAATTTCCAAGCAATGATAAATCTCACAGAAAAAGAAAGTGTAACGCAATACTTGGGGGAGATTCATTTTGATGGTGTTAAATCTTGTAGCTATTCCATTGAAATTACAATCAAAGGAGTAACGAGGGAAGTGGTTAAAATTTTCATCAAGTTAATGAGCATTGACCTTTCAAATAATAAGTTTCAAGGAGATATTCCAAAGGTTATTGGAAAGCTTAACTCACTTAAAGGGCTTAACCTTTCTCATAATAATCTTAGTGGATGTTTCCCCAGTTCAATAGGGAATTTGATTAATCTTGAATGGCTGGACCTCTCTTCAAACAAGCTGGTTGGGACAATTCCAGAGAGATTGCTAGATTTGACATCTCTTTCTGTCTTTAACGTTTCTGAAAATAATCTTGAACGTCATATTCCTCAAGGCAAACAATTCAATACATTTGGAAATGACTCGTATGAAGGAAACAAGGGATTATGTGGATTTCCAGTATCTAAAGGTTGCAACAATAGCGAGCCACCACCTTCGAACTTGCTGAAAAAGGATGGATCAATATCGAACATTGCTTTTGGCTGAAGAGTAGTGTTGATAGGTTATGGATGTGGAGTAGTCTTTGGATTGTCAATGGGATATGTTGTTTTTCAAACTGGTAAGCCAAAATGGTTTGTGACCTTGGTTGAAGACCGACATCGTAAAAGGCAAAAAACATCAAAGATTGGCAATCGCAATGGTGGTGGAAGAAGGATTTAGTTAGTTGGAATGATGTTCAAGCATTTCCATTACATTTTTATATTATCTTTTCTTGTTGTATGTCAAATGTTTTGCCCATGGTGAAGGTTGCGGTGTTTGCTTTTCTTATTGTATTTAATAATGTGTTTAAATGTCTATTCTGAGTGTTAACATTTTGTATGTTTACAGTTATTTAAGTCTTCTTCCTTGAGTTTATTTTCAATTTTTCCTATGCAATAATTTTTGCTACTGCTCTAAAAAAAATCAAATTGTATTAAAAAAATAAAAAATAATCATTTAGTTGTTTTATTTTGCATGAGACCAAGGATATATGGGCTGAACAGAGTTGATTTTAAATTAAATTAGGATGGAGCCCGTGCTTCGCTTTGGAGTTATAATAAAGATGCAAATTGATCTAGATACACTCAAAATTTATTTTGTTAATATTTTGAAGTAAACTTAGTCATAATTTTTAATGTAAATAATAAAAATAAAAAATTTCCAAATTTTAAAAGAAAACAAAATATATAAACTATAATTTTTTGAGAAAACATAATCTATACACAAAATTAATTAAATAAATTAAATAATAAAAAATTTTAATAAGTTATGATTAATTTTATGAGATTTAAAAATTATGATTAGTTTCCTCAGTATTAAAATTTTTGATTAGTTTGATTAAAAAATAGAAAACAAAAATTTTTTAAATGATATTTTAATTTTGTCATATTATTAATAATATACTAATAACTAATTATAATTAGATTATAAAAATTAATTATACTTATAAAAATATTTATATAAATTTATTATTTATCTATATATTATATACCTTAAAAATGGAACCTAGGAAAAAGATTATGTTTAAATTTAAATACCATATTCAATATAACATATTTATTTAATATAATATTGGTAGATTAAATCTAATATTTAATCTAGTATTGAGATAGAAAAATTAATTAAATAAATCGAATAAGAAAAGGCAATTATTTAATAAATATAGTCTATTTTATTGGAATTAAAAATTATGATTAATTTCAATTGTTTTAAAAGTAGAAAACAAATTTTTAAATAATTGAAATTCTAATACAACAATTTGGCCTAACGTAAGGCTTAATCTTTTGTCATTTGTTATGTAATTGCTTTTGTGTTTGGCCAATTTTAGGCTTAATGTTATACCGTTTGTCTTTTAATTGGGTCCTTCCTCGTGTATGCCACTTAGCTCATTTTAGATTTACCTATGTTCCTTTTTACCCTACTTCAGTGGTAAAAAAAAAATTATTATTTAAGTTAATTTATTTGAGCTTTTTTGTTATTTTCTTTTTTAAAATATTTTTCATAAATTTTATAATTTTTATTTTTTTCAAATAATCTGTTCTATTATCAACAAAATTAATTCTAACATAATTAAATAATAATTATTAAAAGTAAAGGAAATAAATAGAATAAGAATAAAAATAAATAAAAATTGATTAGCTAATTAGTAAAAGAAGTTTTGACTATATGTAAGTGATAAAGAAAAAAAATGGTATAATTGATTAATAATAGGTACCTAACTCTAAATAAAAATTTAATAGATAAATACATATTAATCAACGAAATAACAACAAATTAAAAAACTTCTTTTTTTTTCTCAAATTAAATCTCCATTTGTTTTTTGTATTGTCTCTAAATTATTTTCTTTTTTTCATTTAGAACTTAGAGTTTTTAATTTTCAAATTTTTCATATTATTATTTTCTACTTTTTAACATTTAAATTTATAGTTTATCAATATTGTAAAAAAGTGAAAAAAATAATATTAAAACAATTAATTAAAAATTTCTTAATCTCCACGACAAGTTAGATATGAATACTCAATTTGAAATAAAACAAGTTTCAATATATATTATCATTATTAATTAATTATATAATATTATAAATAATTTTAAAATTTATTTTCAGTGGCTTTATATGATAAATACAAACTACTATAATAATTTTAAAATTGATTTCCAATGACTTCATATGGTAAATACAACTTACTATAAATCATATGACATGCTAACGATTGCTTCCATTTATAATTAAATCATATACTTTTTATAAAATGGTTTCCTGTACTTTTACATAAAAATTATAAAGTATGACTATTTTGATCAATCAATTTAAAAATAATTGGTTTTTTTTATTACAAAGACACCTCAAAATTGGCTTGGGGGCAAATAGTTATTTACATTTTATTTTTTATAAACTATTTAAATAAAGTGGTTCCATTATCAATAAATTGCCCCAAATTTGGTGTGATTCCAATCATTAATTTTTATAATCATTTTAAATAATGAGAAAAATCGAATGCAAACATTATTAAAAAAAATTATTCATTGAAAATTACAATTTGTGTTCTGTATTATAACAATTCATTAAAAAAAAATTTCTTCTCAATTTTTATTATCATAAACGATTAAAGCAATCGGAGCATGGAAGCTTTTTTAGTTTCATACTTTTTCTCAAATTTAATCCTTTTACCTACAAATTCATGGCCTGACTGCATCATATGGCAAACAATTTACTTGACACTTTGTTGCATTCTTGAAAAAGAAAAGCAAATAGAAGAAATAAGTCGAAATCCACACCTGGTTTATATTCATCTCTTGAAATTATTCATTTCTTTACACTTGGATATTAATTAAATTCAAGGTTCTACATTCATCGATGCACACTGAACGGCAAAATTTTTTTTCGTTCTAATCATTGGAACTGAGATAATTTTTCTAGTTAAAAGAGAAAAAAGAAAGAACATAAACCCAAATTTCTCTGAAAGTAACAATCCCTGATAAATTTATCAAAACCATTTACATCATTAATCAACTTGAGACACCTATATAATTTAACAAGTGGAATCAGCAGCAAATAGAAAATTCTAAATGATAACAAAAACTTTCAGATATAAAAATGCTACAAATCAGATTGGGTAAACTAATATGTCTGAAGTGGAGTGCAGTGATGTGGAGTTGGGGTACTGCAATTGGTGGATCCCATCTCCCTATCTGCCTTAAGGTAGCTTAATTGGCGATGCGAAGACACTAGTTCCATCATTCTGCTGTTGTTGCTCATCTCATCTCTTTTTCCACTAGGCGTAGTCTATACTACCAATTGTACATTTTGTGGGAAATTCTGCAATGTTGCTTTACGTTCACGTTGTGGAGTCGAGTCCAAGCTGTGGACTAAAATTGAATTGGACCATAATCTCCTTGCAGGTAATGGTATGATTATTGATAAAAACTAAAAAAAAAAAAAAATTAAAAGTTTCTGCTCTTATAAATTGAAGATTGCACAATAATTCTGTATAAGTTAAGGACAATGGCAATAGATTTTATGAAGAAAGTTAAAATAATTCTTTTTTTCTTCACTTTTTTTTTTCACTTTAAATTTATAAGTAACGAAAAATGAAAAAAAAAAAAAAAAGTGGACTCAAATGTCCTATCAATCCAGCTAGTAAGAGGAAATTCTAGACATTTAATCGAATCAATCACTAATATGTTTTGTCTCATTAATGCCAACTTTAGTTAAAATTGCAAAACGCAATTAATTGAAAATGACACCCATCTATTAGAAAATATTTTTTTTTTTTTAAGAAGGTTATAATATAGATATAAGAGAAAGGTTACATATATTAAAATTTGAATTTTAAATTTATTAAATATTATTTTTTAAAATAAATGCATGAAATAATTGAATTAAGTTCAGGATCAAGTATGGAGAAGTTTCTCGCTGCACAGTACAACTATTTTTATTTGCATTATCGGATGAAATTCCCATATCTTGACAATGGTCTGCAAATTTTGTTGCTTTTTGTTGGATCCCACCTCTTTGTTGCTTTTAGGTGAGAGGTGAATGATTTCATCAAGATCAAGAGGTTACCCTGCTATTTTGTTGTGATTTCATTGTATGAGGTTCTCTGCTAGAGTTCTATCAGTTGATTAGGTGTTCTAGCTTTATCTGATATTATCTTTTGTTTAAGAAGTCAGGTTTCTTTTTTGAGGGATTGCTTAGTTTTTGGGGGATTTCGTTGCTGTAGGTCCTCTGTTTTGGGTGTATTTTGGACAACTGAGATTTTTTTATCTCTCAGTCAATAAACTTACTTGGCTTAGAACAAAAAAAAAAGATAGGTGTGTAGACACCCAATTGGGTCCAGGCCCAGATCAATTGGGCCTGGCCCAAATGGGTAAGACACAATTTAATTTTTATCCTGTATTTTTTTTTCTGTTTCTTTTGTATTTTATGTATTTTATTATTTATTATTATTATTATGTATTAATATATATATTTATTTTTTTTATTATTAGATTAGATTTATATGTATATAGTTATATATTTATTATTATTATATTATTATTTTTTTTTTGTTTTTGTTTTGTAATATATTTTGGGTTTATCTTATTTTTATTTGTTATTATTTTTATTTAATTTATGTTTCTTGATTTGTTTCCCGCATTTTCAGATATTTATTTTTTATTTTTTTATTACTTATAATTCTTTGATTTTATCTTTTCTATTATTAGTATTTTTTTAATTTTGATTTTTATTGAGGCTGGACTAAAAATGAGAATCCCCCACTGTGGAAGGAACTCAATCAGAAGACCAATTGTTAGTCAAAGATTGAATCCCTGTCCAAGGAGGAATTGTATTATCAAGAACTCCTGACAACCCCTATAAAAGCACCTCCTGAACAGATGCTGGGAAAAACAGTAAGCAAAGCTACTATTTGAGAGAAAAAGATCGTATTAGGAACTAGTTAAAATTATGACGTGTTCTGGAGAGTGAGAAAAAAATTTTTTAGAAATTTTCGACAAATTTTTCTGGA